TTCTTCTTCTTTTTCTTCTTCTTCTTCTTTTTCTTCTTCTTCTTCTTCTTCTTCTTCTTCTTCTTCTTCTTCTTCGCCTTCTTCTTCTTCTCCTCCTTCTTCTTCCCTGATCATCCTTGATCGGTGAGGTAACTAGGCGACTATTGCTACGAAGGTGTTGGTGGTTGGTTTTGAATGTTGCACTCTGGTAAAGTCCTTGGACCGACCTATCGAAGGTTATCAAACTGGCACTGTATCCATCCCACAACTGCTCGCTTTGTTGAGAAGTCCACTACTCTATGAAACAGAACACGAAACTAGCCTTTGGATTTTCCAGACCGGGTGGGAGTCTGCCATTGATGCTGTTGGGTGCAATTTCAACTCTCGGCTGCCTTCATTGGGACCTCGTTCTGTCATAGGAGATTCCGGTGTGGCCATAGGCCGAGTTGAAGCGAAGTTGGTTCTTTCTGTCGACTTCTTTTGTACGAGTTGTGGAAAAAGGGAGTTGTCCACCCGGGCAGAGATCATCCATAACCAATTACGGCTGAGTAGCCTCCTTGCGTACCAGAACCACTTCGTTTGCGAATGTACGAAAAGTTCCAGCCTGGTTGATCCTTCATCCTTACGGATCGCCTGACCCCTTAATTCGGCCATAGAAGTAGAAAAGAAGAACTTTGGGTAGGGATTATAGACCGCAAATCTGATAATGAGAAAAACACGATTTTGGACATTTTTTCAGGCTAAAATTTTTGGAAAATCGAATATGTCCTAATGCAACTGTAACATTTACTGCAACTGTATACTCAAAAGACAACGACGATTTTAAGTTAAGGAAAATGGCTACGTCGGCTTTCACTGCCTAAATGACTTTTAATATAGAAATTGTAATGCGGCGAATCTGCGAAAAATACCCATAAAACTATGCTACCCAAACACAAACATGTAAACATTCTTAAAATAAAAGACGAAGAAATATTTTTGTAGCGGATGTGTGAGGATACGAAAAATATTTTCCAACTTCTTTAGTGAAGTAGTTAATTTGTCGTAAATGCCTGCTAAGTTGAATGAATGTTGTACTTGAATTACATATCTACTCATTCGTACATACAAACATATGTATGTAAGTATGTTTATATTTTTAGAGAAGGGAAACATTAAATGAATTTACATATTGAAACACTCATCCGGTACTCGGGCATAAGAAGTACTACTCCTAGAATAAGTGCTACTATTTCCATTGTTGTAGTTGTTGCTGCGAGTATTCTAAGAATACATACATACAATAGTTGGATGAAACTGTTGGTGTTGGTGACTGCGGTTGACAGAAGAAGACCGCGTTCAGTCGACGCATTTTCATACATACATACATACATACATACATATATATGTGAATATATTCGCTCCATATATGAATAAGTATTAGACGTAGTACAAAGTATTCCAATTGGAGACCGGCAGACCGAATGACAGACAGATACTTTTCATGCAAGTGGCATATTTTACGTTTTATCTGCTGTTTCTGCTATTTTATCTTTGCGTTTATACTATTTTATATTAAACGCAGTTAACAAGCGTACATACATATGTATGTGTGAACAAAAGTGTATGAAAGACAAGAAATTGGATGCCAGCGCGATACATTCCTACACACATACATTCTCTCTTAGCATAAATGCATACATAACTTAGCGTAAATGCATACATAAGTTCTTAAATAACAAATTTATGCACATACATACATAAGTATGTATCAGATTCTTTTTATTAAGTAACGGGTGATTTTTTTGAGGTTAGGATTTTCATGCATTAGTATTTG